GTTTTCAATGCAGAACACATCTTATTATTTGGTGCGTCATGCCCGAAGGAATTGCCGGTACAGAGCGTCACATCCACACTCACCATCACGTTGTTGTGCAACAGCCAGATCAACGATGTTCGGCTTCTCATTCGACGTGAGCATCCCTCCGGTGAATGCATGTACTTTTTCAACTCCATCCGGTGCGCTGGCAAAGGCAATTCGTTTGGGCAGAAAGATGGATCAGAGGGCAGCGTCACGCGAGACGCATCTCCCGTGCGCCATGCGGAAATACAGGCTGTGCAAAGCGCCTTTATGGGGACCATGGAATCTGGCCAGCGTGTCAAGACCGAGCAACGTATCAGCAGTCGAGAGTATGCCACTCTGATTTGTAACCGCGACGCACAAAGGCATGATGTCGTTTTGAATGCTGTTCAGTTTATCCACGACGATGCGAGGTACGAGGTGACCACCATCGTAGAGCCGCCATGGGCAGCGGGAAAACAGGCATTGACGCTGGAGTGTGACGACCAAGAAAATGCGACATTCCCGTCGTTTGTCAAAGTGGACCGCGAGGTGCCGATTGACAGTCTCTCGACCGCTTTCCTGATATCCCACACGGAGATGGGGCCGCTTTACACATCACTTGTCTACGCCCCCGTTTTTACGCGCGGCATCTTGACGAGAGGAACACGTGCGGATGCGGACGGCAGCTGTGCCACAAGCGACAGCGGCCACCGGACCCCGCGAGCCTCGAAGCGGGATGTTGAGGATGAAGCGGATGAGAAGAAAAAGTTGATGAAGAGAAAGAAAAAGAAACGCGTTAAGCACACTGCCGTGACGGATGAGGACGAGTCGTTGCCTCTGCAGAAAGCAGAGAAGAAGGCGGATTTTACCGCCACTGTGGTAGAGGCAGTGGACGCAAGGGAAATCCCCCCAAATCTTCCCAGTCAGTCCAACTTGGGGCCAACTGACGACACACCGAACTCACCACCAGTACCTTCAGCATCAACAACTCCTCCTTTGCCCAGCGGTCCTCCCACCGCAAACCCTCGCGGGGCGATGACGGGGATGCACTAACGGCACTGTTTGTTGCCGCCATCACCAATGCTTACTCACTTTTAGATGTAACCGCTTAGATTCACCCCTTTTATTCATCAACTTTTTCTAATTATTATTATTTTTTCTTTCTTTTTGGGGTGGAACGCATTTTGTACTGTCGTTTTACTTTTTATTGGGCGTGTTGGTATATTTTTTAAAATCTTTTTCTTTATATTGTTGATTTCAATAACTGTCTTAGTTGGACTTTCCTTTTTTTTTTTTTTGGAGTTGTTTGCAGTACGCAATGACCACACCGTTGCTCCACTGACGGAGTGCATTTGTCTGTCTATATATATTGACGCTGGTGCGTGTGTGGCTATTTGGGCATTCATGAGGCAAGACTGCAATACACACATGCTTCGTACGGTGTGCCTGTTTGTTGTCTTGATTACTTTTACGTTTGTATGTTCTTACGCGTGTTTAGAGATGTTATTATTATTTTTGGATGAAGAGGCAGACACACACCGATAAAAAAGCGAAGGAGTACGTGCTGCTGCAGTGGAGGGGGGCGTTGTTCTGTTGTTCCATCATTCTGACATTGCCGAGATGAAGACATCAAACGGAAGAAAAAAAAAAACAAAGACGAAGAGGAGGCTGTCGCTGGCTGCACTGACGTTACTCCTTCCCTTTTATTATTTTTCTCCCCCTTCCTCTCTTGGTTTGTATTCAATGCGGGTATATATTTTTATATCTGTCTCTCTCTCTGTGTGTGTGTGTGTGTGCTACTTACTTGAAGCCAATTGTTATATTTTGTTTTTGTTTTTTTGTCTTCCTGCGGCGCCAGCAGGACGGGGGGAACGCAATTCTGCGTGGCGCTCTCATGTACTCTGCGCATGTGTCTTTTCTTTTCCGTGTCGCTTGTGGGTTGTGGGGCGCAAAGAGGGGGTGGTCGAGAGGAAAACACAAGTAAATAAAAAAAGAAAAAAAGAAAAAAAAGCCGTCAGTACACGTGACACACGGAAGGGGAGTCGCAAAGGAAAGGCGAACAATAAAATAAAACACACGCAGACACACAGACAAACAGCGGCAAAAGAGGGGGAGACAGAGTACATAGGGCGATCAACGCGTTGGAAGCAAAGGAAAAAAAAACAACAACAAGCAAACAAACAAAAAGAAACCAGAAGGTTCAAAAGGCGAGGCGACAATTAAAATTTGGTTGGAAATTTAAAGCAGTACGATTGGGATGGAAAACGGTGCGGTGGGGTTGGTGCCGATTGAATGCCTTATTTGTGCTGCGACATGTGAGGCATTAGCCGTCTTCAAATGTGGACACTACGTGTGCTATGTCTGCGGGCTGCACATTCACTCCATTGATCACGGTGTGTGCCCAGTTTGTCGAGAAAAGGGCGAGACGGTCATTGTGACGTGCACTCCGCCAGGTGAGGACGATGATGAGGATAAATTCAGCGCCGAATTGATTCGGACGATGGAGGACGTGTCCGGGTTTGACAGTCACTTGCAGTGTTTTGTGCATGGCAAGGCCTTGGCGAATGAACTGAGAAAAATGTACGAGTATGTCTGTCCTGTGCCCAAATGCTGGTGTAGGGGTGTGCAGGAACCTTTCTGTGAGATGTATCCCCTGCACGAGCATCTAAAGACGGATCACGGGTTGGGGTATTGCACCATCTGTCTTCAGCATCGATCTGTGTTCCTGTGTGAGCATCAGGTGTACTCGAAGGAGAACTTACGGTTGCACATGGACGGGGTGTGCCCACACGACTCTCCCTCTTTCTTGGGGCACCCATTTTGCAGATTTTGTCCAAAGACACGCTTCTACGACGAGGACCATCTTCTTGAGCACATGAAGCAGCATCACTTTACATGTGATATATGCAACCGTGGCGAGTTTCTCTTTAGGTACTATGAAAATCGAAAAAAACTTCTTCAACATTTTGAGCGGGAGCACGAGTTGTGTGATCACCCCGCGTGTGCATCGCTAGATCCAATGATGAGAGTTTTTGTCTCCGACTTGGAGTTGGCGCTTCACAAGCAGCGCGTGCATGGTGTTCGCTCGCGACTGGCGCTCTTCACGACAGATGCCTCTTCCACAAACCCGTCTAGCAGCCTTCCCACTAGCACCACGCCTGCAACGGGGTTCAACGCAAATGTCATCAGCATCACATTTGATTACGTGCACAAGCAGGAGACGGTGAAGTTGATGCAGGCATGCGCGCAAAGAGGCAGCGGTGGTGGGTTTAAGGGGAAAAGAAAAGGGGGCGGCAACAACCACATGGATTGGGTGCGGGGCGACGCACCTGGACTGCCGGTACATTTTCGAACTCGCGGTGTGTTGAAGCCGCTCATGCGTAAGGTTCGTGAAAGGGATGTGGCGCTACAAGCGACGTCGCATCCGAGGGCATTTGGTCTCTCGGAGAGTGCGGAGACGTATAACACAAAGAATAGGGTGCCACTGAACCCCACCGAGCTTCGGGGTGCCTTGGACGCCGTTCTGCGAGAAGAATTACCCGACTTGCACCGAATGGAAGGATTCCGTGAGTGTACGGCGGACTTTATGAGCGGGAAGATGTTGACGATGCGTTACTACAACTGCCTGCGAACAGAGTTTTTCCCATCTGAAAGCGCCTTTCAGAAGGTGTTTCCTCTGGTCGTTGCCACCGTCCCGCTTCCGGAGAGACGCGATGCTCTTGTGCAGATTGAGAAGATGCGAAACTCACCCGAGGTGCAGCATGCCCAGCGGATGCAGGAGGAGGAGGAGAAAAAGAAAAAGGATAGTGAGAAGTGGAAGAAACAGACCGAATACTTGGAACGCATTCAACAGGGGTCGAAAAGGCAAAAGGGGAATAACAGCGGCGGACGCAATGTGTGGCTGGAAAGAGGCAGTGCCGCTCTTATTAACCAGGCACACGGGAAACAGTCAGAGACACAAGAAAAAGAACAACCGCGGCAGCAGCAGGGGTCCCAACAGACTTTGTGGGGAAAAGATAATAAACATGCCAGTCAAAAAAGCGGCAATGAGCGTTCTTTGTCTGGCGATGCCACCAGTGCTCGTCCTACTGCTTGGGGTGCAGCGCAGGAACGGCAGCAGCCTCGCCTATCATTGCTTCCCATAGGAGCTGCGGGGTATTACCCGAACCCAGAGGATTTTCCGGCGTTGCCCACGAGGAACCCCTCTCGAGCACTGGGACTGCCACAAGCGAAACGAACCTCGCGACCGAATGCGTGGTACCGCAAATGAGCCTCAAAGAAGCAAAGAGGAGTGGTGTCTGGGGATGTGTATGGGCGTGTGTCTGCGCCGCTGATGAATGACGAGGATGGGAAAAAAGGACAGGGACGACGAATACGGTAAATGAGAGGGTTCCATCGGGCAGCATCAGAGAAAAACGGTGTTGGTTAATTGCCGCTGCCTTGGGTGATTCTCTCTTTTTTTTTTTCTCCCTTGTTTTTGCTCTTCATCGTTTTTCCTTTTTTTTTTTTTTCAGCGCTTCAATTGCTTTTACCCAGCGGTGCGTGTTTTTCACCCGTGGACCGGTGCCGCCGGTCAGCGTGGGAGAAAAAAAACGGGGAGGGGGTTTCCCATTGAACAAACATGGAAAAAAATCATATTGGAAACATTTAAAAGAAGAGAACGTCTTTTCACTACGACCCTTACAGTCTTTACTTATTACCGCCCCCATTTGAATGCAGACACACCGCCTTTCTTTTATTTTTGCCCCCCCCCCCCCCCACGGCACGCGCAATTGCTGCGAGAGAAGAATGAGGGATGCAGAAGAAAAAAAATGAAAAATGATTTGATTGAGCCACACAAACCCCAGTGCGTGTGCATTTAGCCAAATGCGTCACCTCATTTTGTGAATGGGGACATTCTGCAAACAGGAGGCGAGCGGGTGCGAGTCGACGGTGACGTGAATGAAGAGCGGCGCTGAGAGCGAGGGAGTGCGGGATCTCGGATTTGGGAGAAATGACGTTATGTGTTTGTTTATTTTCATTTTTTTATTTTGTTACCATTAATAGTGGCGCATGCGTCTGTCATGCGGTGCGACGTTAAAGTGATTTTCTGCCTTTGACGGGCCTCCTTCACTGGAGAGAAGGGGTGGATTACGCCTTACGCCTTTTTGCGGGGGTGGAAAACGGCTTGGGGTTGACGTTTTTTATTTTATTTTTATTTTACCCTTCTTTTCTGTCCATTTCTCTCCCTATTTCCACATTTATTTGCATACATTACTGTCTGACATGCACGCAACCACACGCACAAAGGTGAGGGGGGAAAAGGGAAGCCCAACAAGGCGGGAAGCAAAAGAAGAAAAGAATAAGAAGAAAAAACAACAGCAGGGAAGGAAGGAGCGAAGGCAAACAAAGGGGACTGGGCAGACGGTGTGTTGCTTGGATATTTTTGTGCATTTTGTCACGTTGTGTGTCGCTCTTGCAGATCTTTGTTCGAATGGATACGACGCTTTACAGTGAGGTAAATCGTCTCGAACGCGGTGACTTTCTTCTTTTTCACAGTGTGCAGCTCTCACAACACGAGCGTGACGTGCAGCGGTACTTCTTTGGATGCTACTTTCCGCGCTGGCGTGGGTTCTACCTGGAGGAGGTGAGGGATATGCCGGGCCCTCTAGGCTACAAGGTGCAGCGACACTTTCCTGCGTATCCCTTTGACGTGTATCTGAAGGACAATGGTGAACACTTTCTCACGGATGACTTCCAGGAGGGTTCTATATTCACTTTGGGAGCCTCGCAAAATCAGCGTGACGGCGACTCGAAGCGATATAAAGTAGTGCACTGCGACGATAGTCGTTTGCGCACGCGCACGGGCACGACTCTTGCAGACATTGGCAATGACATCACGACGAAGTTGAATCAAACACACCGTGTCCCTGGCGAGGTGATAGATCTCCTGCGTGAGATTAGAGATGCGTATGTTGTGTATGCCGGCAATGGCATTCCTGAGATTGGCATCAAGGCAATGGGACGTCACTTTCGCCACGTCAGCGAGGATGGAAAGCGGTGGATGTCGTTGGAGAACATTGGAAAGCTTGTTCGTGACTCTCGTGCCTTTTCCACCACATTGTCATTTGAGGACACGCAGAAGACGAATTCCACGATTAGCAATAATGCAAGGAGCATTCATGAAGCCTTTCCGCAGAATGAAGAAGGCTGCATTGACTATGATTTATTCATGGACTACGTTCGTGGGCCGATGAGCCAAAAACGGAAGGATGCCGTCTGGGAAATATTCCGCAAGCTTGACTTTGATGGAGACGGCTACCTCAACATCTTAGACATTCAGGCCCGCTACAATGCGCAGCAGCACCCTGTGGTGGCGGTGGAGAGACTCTTCTCCGCGGACAAACTGCTCAAGGGCTTCCTCACCGTTTGGGATGAGAACAAACAATACGGGTTGATCCCATACGCCGAGTTTATCGACTACTACAACGGCGTCAGCGCGGTAATTGCGGACGACTACATCTTTTTTGATATTCTCCGAAACCAATGGAAGGTCATGCGTGACTGGGGAGGGACGGTGGGGACGAGGAGAGGGAAGTGTGAGGTCCCGACGATGTAAACTACGAACGAAAAAATAAAAAAAAAGAAGGAAGCAAATAGAAAACAAACAAACAAACAAGAATTCAATTACAAATGCGTTGGGATAGATGTCTTGTCCGTGATCGGGGACACAGAGCCGGCCGGAACGCATATACCATGTACGCACTGTCCTTGGTTTTTTTTCTGTACTTGATTTTGTGGATGTAGGCTTATCTCGGAGAGTTTTCTTTTTTGTCGTGTTGTTGGTTGGGCGGTACATTTTGTTTTGTATGAATGATGTGTTGTCTGTCACTCTCCGGTCAGTGTCTCTGCTTCTTTTTCCGACTTTACTTTTTTTCTCTCTTCATCCCCCCCCCCCTAACCCACTTATTGAAAAAACGTAATGCCCCGCAGTCGCTTTTTCTTTAGAATATAAGTGTTGTGCCACCGCCTAATATACATGTCGGGAAAACTGGTGTTAGTGTGTCCCAACACCACCACCACCAACACTACCTCTTCCTCTTTCCACCACAGTTATTCCGATGCGTGCTATTTTATAGTCATGGAGCTTCCGGCAATGTGTGATGCTCGCATGTGTCAAGAGCATGTGAGATCAACACCAGGCAGGGGGCCGGATCTCGCACACGACACCATATTGGAGGAGGAAGTGAGCTGCAATGCACGAAAGAGCGGTGTAGCAACGGATCTTGAGAATGACAAGGGAGCAGCCAGGGAAGGCAACAGCGCGGGAGTCGTTGTTGTCATTACTGTGGATACCGTTTCTGGGCAACTTATGCACGCAGGTGTTCCACAGAAGGATCTTTTTGCTTCTGTGTCTGACGCCATGCGCGCAATCCCTACTTTATGCTCGCGCACATCCTTCCCATTTGAGGTGCGCGTTGTGTGTGAGTTTGTTGCGTTTGCCGGTGGTTGTCTCACAGAGGAAACCATAAATCTGCTTTTTATTGAATCGAGTACGCTAATTATGGGGGGTAACGGTACCACATTTCATGCTCATGCCTTAGGTGAGGAGGCCGGCCTGTTTTCCTTTTCGCCCATGAACCGCTGCATTCCGCCTATTTTTTCTGTTGACAAGGCAAGATGGGTCCACATCCCACTGCGAATTGCGGTATCAGCTCTTCAACAGCCTCTCACAAGTAGCGGTGTACATTCGTGGACGCTTGGCGATCGCAGTTCAACACCCTACAAATTGTTTTCTAGCGTCTTGGATGAAGATGCGATAACGCCGTACCTGTACTTTTCACCGGGTGTGGATGTAACACATTGCTGCGTCTTGAAGGAAGCGGTGAGGCGTTTGTTGGTTCCCTTTAAAGCGGGTAGAGACTGCACGAATTCACTGAATAGCAACATGGATTTGGATGGCAACCCTGTTTTGGCTCCTCCGCTCATCAATGAGTTTTTTCCACCGCTTCCCAAGCAAGCGGGCCGCGGTGCGTTGGGCCAATGTGATTGTCTTTGGAACGAGGAGCTTATTCGCTTTTGTAACGCGTTTGGCTTGGGGGACTGGTGCTGTCGATTGGCTCTTGGTTCATGTACCGCCATCACCTTGCCACACTCATTCAGGATTTCTTCTGTTGCCCTTCTTGTTGTTCGACTGAGTCGTCTGGCAATTTCCGGATGTTTCTATGATTACAAGCCATCATCTGCAAAGGTGCAGTTGGACTCTTATGTATCCGCACTGGAGACGGAGTTTCAACTGCTCATTTTGCATGAACCGTTGCAAAACCAAACAGATGAGGAGAAACTTGGGGCAATTTCTTCACTGACATGGCGGCGGGGCACGGATTTTGCTGGTCACAAGAACATTGTTGAGCAGAATGAGCGGGTTAAGGAATGCGCGGAGAGATTTTTAGATCCACTTCCGCCTTGTGAAGATCATGTGGCAGGCATTTTTGCTGCGTATTTGGAGCGGTATGGATCAGGGACAAAAGTTAGTTTGGCGCATGCGGGTACTGTGATTTTGCAGGAGGACAAAATAGCACGCGAGATGGGGCAAGTCGCAAGCAGCTACCAACGCTTCATTTCCCCTATAAAAACCAGGAAGTCGCCAGTGAAGAGGCGGGGCCTCCCTCCTTCATCGCCTAAAGGGCGAAATAACCTTGCAACAAATCTGGCGAATGTCGCATCGGGACGCCGAAACGATTTAGACGTTAGTGCGGTGGACCCAGTCTCTGCGAACAAGAGCCTACAGTCAATTCTTCAATTACTTGCTGGACATGTTAAGGCACATGGTCTTCGTCCTGTTGTTACTGTTGGAGCGCTATTTCCCGTGTTTTATTCTTGTTCTTCTCGTTCTTCCCTTGTGGGTATAAATTCTGACGCGGCATCAGTGAATGACGGTGGTGGATTCTTGCAGACCTTTTGGGGAAGGGAATCCCTGCACGTGGACCGATTTCAAATGGCAGACAGTTGGGTTCCACGTGTCTGTGTGAGCGATGATACACAGGTAAGCATCATCGCATCTATTATTGTGTCGGTTGGTTGGGTTGTGAGCTGGCTGTTCAGCGAACTTGATGAGGAGAGGGATGTGGCTCAATTACTGCTGGAGTCCAGGGCTTGGGTGCGGGATATCATTCTTTTGGTGGCCAACTCAGCGGCCGCCACTTCTTGCATTCGCACAGCTTTTTTAAAGCAGGAGGCGATGGAATGGGTATGGCGTTGTCTTGTGGAAATTTGCGAAGGAGCTCCAGTGGCGTTTAGCCCCGTGGTGTGGGCAACAGCACAGCGCATTGAGCACATGACTTTTCAGGCCAGGGAGAATGGTTCTGGGTCTTTTGACAAAGAGGAGCATGATGATCACAAGAGCGGTGTCATTATAAACAGGACGGTACACAAGTTTTTAATGACGTTTTTTCTTTCGGAAGGCGGTTTTTTCCCGAGGGAACTTGTGCAACATCGGATAGTTCTTCTCTCACACCCATCGCGGCTTTCATCTATCATCAACGTCCAAATGTTGGTTCCACCTTCGAAGATGCAGGGGTCCTCTGCAGAAACATTAGATGAGGAGGAACCTCCTTGGAATAACTCGCGGGAGGGGCTGTTTCCATTGACGCCCATGCGTCATTTGAACCCACCCGTCGAATGCGATGGGGAGTTCCCCCTTCTCTCGTGGTCGGGCAAGGGCCCTACACCGACGCTAAACATGCTGCAGGGCCTTATGCACCCATTTTCACAACCCCTTTGTATGCCATTGTGCTTTGAGGGGGTGGAATTTACCATTTCCTTGCCTTCTCTTTCGTACGTCACGCATGTGGCATTGCTGGTGGCGAATGCCGTTCAGATGGCGCCTTATGCCGCGGCACTTTCTATTTCTCTCTCAACATTTTGTTACGTGGGCCAGACGCACGAGAGGAGCGTCTTGGAAGATGTTCCGCTCCCGCTATGTGTTAGCAGCCGATCATCTTTTGGTCGGCAAATATCTCCGCATTTAATTTTTTTTGAGCTGCACCGCCCTTCCACTGAAGAGGCCCCCTTATCATTTGTAGAGGAGGTGGTGGCAGGCATTGGTACGTCTGGTCGCAGTTTCAATCAAAGCACGCCTGTTGTTGCACGTTATATGCGTCTCTCAATTCGCGGTTCGGGCTGCAATCCGATGGCGTTGCCCCCCATATTGGTGTTTGGCGAGCCTGTTGATTGTATTCCATGCGAAGAACTTCACGCCGTTGTCGGTTGCCAGACAAAATTGAGCCGCATGCTTTTTGCGGCCCGGTCGCTTTTTACGTGGGAGGCAGGAGACAATTTGACTGTTGAGTTCACAGACCCGAAGTCGCCTCTTTCTGTCGTGACGGCTGCGACTCAAGGCGGTGATGAGTCCGATAAAAGAAACAGCCACGTGGAAGAGGACCAGGAGGTGGGGGATGGGGAGAAACAGGGGACTGCAGTGGAAAAACACGCAAGCGCACCGCGGCTGGTTGGCACGTTGATGGCGACACACGGACGACGAGAGATGTACCTGATGAAGGTTAACAGCGTTATCCCAGCAGATCTTTTTCAATTGAATTTTGAATTGACTGTGGCGATGGAGTCGAAGCGGCTTCAGAGCCACGTGCGCCGCTTTTATCGTGATTTCATTTTGTACCGCACGGGTGTCCCACGTTGGGTCATGAACCCGGCATACCAGGTGCTCCCGCGCTCCACATTCCATCGCTCACAGCTCCCAGAGGAGGCAAAGGATACGGAGTTCATTAGGTACCGACAGAAGAAACGGGGTGAAAAGAACGGGGAGTTTTGTGTCGCTACTTCCAGTAGCGCTAGAGAAAAGAAAAAATGTCGGATGAAAAACGAAGAGCGAAAGCGATGCGCTCTTTGTCTTCGTGTGTTCTCGTGGTTCTCGGGCGTCAATGAGTGCGACCGGTGCCAACGCCATGTATGCGAAAAATGTCTGTCGGAAAATCGTGTGCGTTTGCCTGAGCTTGGTATTCACGACAGCACCGCTTCTGTTTGCCTGGCGTGTTTGAAGAAAGTTATGCGGCTTGAGGAGACGCTGAGGGGTTTTCTCTGGAGTGAGGCTCTCGGTGAGGTGGAGAGCGAAGTTGAAAAGGAAGAGTCGATTGATTTCTACGCACGCTGCACAAAACCCCAACTGGAGTCGGTCCTGGCCCTGTACCCCCTTCCCTTACACAGCAGCTACGCGCATGCAAGCGTCTTGAGGAATTGTGACAAACGACCCTATCAACTGACAATGCACCCACTGACACGTGTTGTGAATGCGCCTGGTATGGACGACGAAAATAAAACGCTCTTTGAAGAGGTACTCGGGGTCATGGGATTCAACAAAAACCTATTGAGATGGCGTTGTGTCACGGAAGATGAATGGACGGATTCCATTACGCGCGTTAGCCGTCACGTGATTCTTTTGCTTCCTCATGGAGCTGCGGTCTCGCATGGGATACTGCGATACATGTTATCGGGGAACATCTGTGGAAATATTGAAGTTCAACTATACTTGGGGAACTCTTTGCATTCCCTTGAGCCATTTTCTGGAGCAGATATTGGCAGCCCTGGTGTCTCTCATGATGA